TAGAAAGCAGAGTTTAGAGGAGGGAAAGACAGGCCTGGTTTAAGGTGGCCTAGGAGCTTTATGGAGGAGAGCAACTTTGAGGGATGAATTTGGACTGCATTTGTGTTTGTAGGTCTGCAAGATGGTCTGTATGTGTTTGCAAATGTGGAGACTGTCTTTGTGCCTGCAGGGTGTTCTTGAGTCTACGTAGGTGTGTTTCCTGGACATGTCTCTGGGTACTCTGAATTAGTTTTGGAGTGGCAACATTGAATTTGTGTCTTGGTGTTTATGCATCTGTGTGGCTGATGTCTGTGTCCATGTGCCTTTGACTATGTGTGGGATTCTGCTCCGGCCTCTCACTTTACCCTGCCCCTCTCCCCTGACGCTCCCCAGCTGCCAGCATCATTTACCGCAAGGAATGGCTTCCGTTCCCTTCCCGCTGTCTGGATTCCCACGGGTCCAGCTGCCTACATAGGGTCCTGCCCCTGTGGCCTCTGTAGCAGGCTCGACCTTGGGAGCGATACACTCTGGAAAGCCCCCAGTATGCTCCTTGCCCGGCCACGGACCCAGAGAAGTTACAGTGGAGAAGAGGGGCAAGGCGGGAAAGGGGGGGCAGTTGGCAGAGCCCACCCCTCCTTCTGGAAACAGAGATCTCCCTCTGGCCCCTTCCCAGGCCTCCTTTCCCTCCTCATGCTCTCATCCAGACCAAGTATTCAGGGTCCTGGCCTCACTGTCTCTGGGGATAGGAATGAACAGTCCTCTGCAGGCCCAGCCAGAGCCATAGAGATCTGGTTCTCTGTGTCCCCCAGTACCTTACCTGCCTGCATTGTGTTCATTCCTCATCTCCCCACCTGAAGTCCAGGCGGTCTTCCCTTCTTTCCTCTTCCTGCATTGGACGCAGCAACTATTCTTGTTCTTCATTCTATGACAGCCCTGGCCTCTGCCATGGGCCCCTGACCCAGGTGGAAAATTAGGCTTTGGATGGCTGGGAAAGAGCAGAAGCCCAGCCCCCTCTCACGTGGTGCAGAATTTCTGTTCTCAATCTGTGTTCACTGCTCTCCCTGGCTGGGCTGTGGTAAGCAGGTACAAAAATGAAGCAGTCATGGTCTCTCTCCTCTAGCACTCAATGTTTGACAGGAGAAGTGATTTTGTGGAGAAGACACTTTCCTCCACCACAGGTAGTCAGTTGCCTGAAATTCTCTCCATAGAATTCTTAGGTGTCCTCGGCAGAGGTCAAGGGAAGGGCTCCAGAAGGTCAGAACCTTTTACCATGACATGTTATTTCAGAGGGCCAGAGGTGAACTCCAGAGTTCCCGAGCAAGCACTGATATATTCCTAGCATCTACCACCAATTCTGGAGTTGTAAATGCTTGAGTTTCTGTCCTCCATGAGGCCATTTATTCTGATTTTACCTCTCTTGAGCCTAGGGAAAGCTAGAAGATGGGGGTTGTGCTAGGGTTATGGGATGGGATGAACAAGGCTTCATCCCTCAACAACATCCTATGTGAGTCACAGGCTCTGACCCTGTCTTCTCTCAGCTCCTGACTTTGCTGAAAACTGAGAATCCTGAAGGTGTTTGTTCCAGCTCATCTTTATGCCCTCAACCCTTTGTTGTAGGACTTTGGTCAGCACTATGAACTCACACTGCTCTGGGACAGGTAGGAGCCTTAGGGGACCATGGAAAGGACCTGTTCCACCTAAGTCAGGATGTGTGCACATTAACCTTGGCTTCCCACGTGATGCTGCTGTGACCTTTCTGGTCATTCCCTTCATGCTGCCTCCCTTTCCCCCTTATCTCCTTGCTCTGTGGCTGTCTGCCCAACTCCCACCAGGCAGGGAGGATGTGCCTGTCGCAAGACCTCCTATGATCTCTGGGGATGCTTTAGGAAAACACCTGGGGGGTGTTGGCTTAGCAAGCTTGGGCCCTGTGCCTCCTCACTCTGAGGGTCACAACAGGGGTTGGGCTCCCATCCCTTATGCAGAGTCACCATTTAGAGGAGGAACACATTCATGCTTCTCTCCATCCTGGGTTTTCTGCATCCTGGTAGCAGTGGACACTTGGGTCCTATCAGAGGAAGAGAGTCCTGCCACCACCTCTTGGTTTGATGGGATGTTGAGTCATCCTGGATTTCCTTAGGAATGAGTAAGGCAGGGACATCCCATAGTCCACCATAGCACATTATAGGGAAACTATAGCACTTCCTCCACTTCCTTGAGCTCTTGGCTCCTGTGAGGTAGGTCAGAACGTGGGAATGCAGAGATGCCACCTTTTGAGAGATACAGAGAGTCCAAAACAGAGATTCTTTCCATCCACTCAGGGAAGCCTCTTTGTCTTTTTGCCTTCCAGTTCTCTCCTCCCACCTCCAAACTACCCTAGTCCCTGGGTGGACACCAGGAACCACAGCTGCCCTATTTCTCTGTCTCAAGCCCCCTCCTCTTCCTTATGCTCCATGCATTTAGAGCTTTCCCTGCCATCTCTTCTACTGTATTCCAAGAACAACTGTTTCACACATATGATCACCAACTTCAACCACTTTTTCTGACCACCTGGGCTCATGTGCTACTACTGACTTCTTAGGTCCTAAAAATAACTAACCAATGTAATTTCTAGAATTCTGCTCCACCCCTGGCTTTGGCTTTCCATTTTGTCCTTCCCCCCATTTGCTATGATCCTTTTCCAGCTCCTCTTTCTCCCTTTTGATCTTTGTCCCTACTCTCTTAATTGTGGGGAAATCTTTCTTCTCTTGATATACAAAGTCTTCCCTCATTAATGTCACCTTCTCTTTACTTAACCACCAGTGCAGTGTCTGTGCATAGTTAAGGCCAACCCCTCTTTTTGGGGACTCACTCCTATTCTGTTACTTTGCTCTCCTGCATTGTCAACTTATTCTTCTCCATTGGATCTTTTCCATTAACATCCAACATGCTGTCTCCCACCTTTAAAAACCCTGCTCTATGTCCTAATTTTTCTGCATGTCTGTGGAACAGAATTCCTTGAAACAGTTGATTATACTTACAATTGCTCTTCCATTCCCCCTTGAATCCACTCCAGTCACACCTTCATCTCCACTACTCACCTGAGTCTATTCTTCTCAAGGCATGAATGATCTCTATGTTGCTTAACCTAACAATCATCTCTGTCCTCGTCTTACTTGGCTGATTGGCAACTTTTTCAAGCAGTTGCTCACTTTCTCCTTGCAATACTCTTCTTTCTCAGCTTCCAGTATATTATACTCTTCTTCTTTTCTTCCTACCTCACTGGCTACTACTTTGCAGTCTCTACTTATTGGTTCCTGCATTCCCCCCTCCCCCTAATTTGTTAATGTTAGAATGTCTCAGAGCCTAGTCCTTAGATCTCTCCTTCATTTACACTCATTTCTTTGGTGATCCTATCCAATCTCATGGTTTTACATCTACCTATCTATCATCTATTATCTATCTATCTATCTATCTATCTATCTATCTATCTATCTATCATCTATCTAATCATCCACAGCCAGCCAGGACCCTCCCTGAGGACCATCAGGCTTCTGTGTTGAGAATAGACTGTTGAGATATGGTCTCAGGAAGAAGCTGGGAAATTAGTTATGAGGCTACTGCAGTAATCATAGCAGCAGACAGAGTGAGAAGTGGTCATGTTCTCAATTCATTTTGGAGGTGGAGACAGCAGGATTTACTGCTGGATTGGATATGGACTATGGAAAAAAGGTCAAAGATGACACCAATATTTTTGTCCTGAGAAAATGATAAGATGGAGTTACCATTAAGTGATATGGTAAATACTGTCCTGGAAGAGTGTTTTTTTATGTGTGATTGAGTGATGGTGATGGGTGGGGAATCAGTTGTTCACTTTCCTGTAGTTTGAGATGAATATTGGACATCCAAACATATATTCTGATTAGACAATATTGGTGGCATGTGAGATTCTATCCCAAGAAATCATGACCTCCATTGTATAAGTCCTCTGTTTTCTTCATTGTGGTGTTTGCTATAGTACCTTGCATATAGTAAGTACTCAAATATTTTTATTGTTGAATCTAAGATGCTTCTCAAAGTCATTCTTACTGTGATCCTTCTGGGGTCATCTTAGCTGAGTTCTTCCTCCTGTGACAGGATCCCCCATTCGATAGAACTCATCATACTAATGTAGTGATTTGGCTGCTCCCCAGCTCAGAATTTTGTTTCAAGTTACTATTAAGGTATTACTGTGGATCAGCCACTATTCTAAGCCCTGGGGATATGAGCCATTATTTAAACTTTTCAGACAAGAATGGATGGAAACTGAATACAAACAGAGGCAGTAAAAATAGAGGAAAGGGGCAAAGTTGAGAAATATCAAGCTTAGAACTCAGTGACTAACTTCATATTTGGGCTAAGCAAACAATGTACTTCTAGTTACACCATTACAAGACATTGGGTCACAGTTTGATAGGGTCCAAGGTGAGTGTTCTGATTTTGAATTAATTTGCATTACCTTTGGACAAGGCTCAGCCCATTGCTCTTTATCACACTATGGGCAAGTAGATTGAAGCTCAGATTTACTCACCTACTTTCCCCAAAAGCACTTGAACCTTGGGTTGGCTTCCTGGCTCCAGGCTCTTTTGAGTGCAAAGTAAATTGGCTTTGCTCCTTTATCATACCCTGGTCAGGAACAGTCAGCCTCTGTCCCAGGTACTCAGACCTCCATCTACATGCTCCCCTTCCCTGATTCTCTCCCCACCTGCCCTTGGGAGGGGAGGACAAGCCCCTCTTCATGGCCTACTGTGATCTTCATTCCAAGAGTCGCTCATTCCATACAGCTGGCCGGCAGTGGAGGCGGGATATCGCAAGAGAGTTACAGCAGCTTCCCAGATGAGTTCTCCAGAAAGATCTTGCCAATAACCAACAGGGAGCAGAGCAGGGGAGATTCTATCATTTGCTTTTGACATCCTGTCATATTAGCTACATGCTTTTGAATAAACACAAAGTACCTCCTCAAGGTGGGAGTGCTGTGGCACTCCTCTGAAAACCTCCCCTGCAGACTATGGGCCTTTACGGAAGTCATCAGCGAATTCTGTCTGTGGGATTCCTGGCCACTCCTTCTCGTCACTACTATCCTCATGTCCACATTGCTCCTCTGGGCCTAAGGACACCAATGGGAAGCCATGATAGAATTCAAGCCTGACCCTTATTTACCTTACCTTCCTTCTCTGCTCAAGCCCCTTTATCCACAGTCCAGGGTGGGCTGGGAGGAGTTGTGTGGAATGCTGACCCAGCTTAAGTGTGGGTTAAAGCTCCTTCTCTAGATGGGAAGGACATTTTAGCCTCCCCTCATACCTTCCCTTAACACACCACAGTGGAGAGAAGGAGGAGACAGACAGTGCTTTGCTTAGAGACGTAGAGTGTATTTTGGGTGGCACTCTGCCCCACCTGCACATTAATGAAAATGACAGCAGCAGTCCTCTTCAAGGGACACGGATGTTGGGGGAGCCTACCAAGTCTTTTGATTGTGTTGGGTCTTCTTGAGCAGACCAACGTTTCCCTCTGAGGTGAGAGGTGAGATCTAGGGTACGTTCCCTGGTTGGGTGGCACAAGCCACTCCAGGACAGTGCCGAGGGCAGTGGCGGGGGTGGCCCAGGACTGAGGCAGAATGGAGTTGGTGAGAGCGGGAGCGGTGCCGGAGCTTACTGGCTGGGGAATGGGGACCATCCAAGAAGGCCAGGCCCACCTGCTTCTCAGTGGGGGAAGATCGAGCCTTGGAGTCCCCTCTTATCCGCTCTGTCTTGGTTCGCCCCATGGGACTTTTAGCTGGAGCCAGGCCCTTTTCTACATTTTCTTTTCTGGTGTTGGCCACTTTCCCAGCTGTAGAGAACATGGATTCCTCGTGCACTTTGCCTTTTGCCTTGGAGTTAAAACAGTGCAGAAAGGATTTCATCTTACTTCTCAAGCCCGATTCAGGAAGGCTGGGCCTCTTGTGGGTATGGACTGGCATCACCTGGCCCTGCAAAACCTGACCTTTCAAAGTTTGGCCCTGCAAAGGCTTACTGTGAATGAGTTGGCCCAGGAAAAGCTGGCCCTGTGATGCCTGGGGCACCACAGGTTGGGCATTCTTAGGAATCCTTGCTGGTTTGAGGATGACATTAAGCTTGGTTTGACTGCTGTGCAGGTCATTCTTCTCAGATACCTTCGCCCCAGGGATTCCTGGAGGTGGCTCTGGAAGCTTAATCTGAGAGTGATGCCGGGTACTGTGTTCACAGGGAGCATCAAGATGAAAGCTACGGCTCCGTCGCCAGGGGCTATGAGGAGTCCTGTTCAGAAGCATCCCTTTTGGCCTCTGGGCTTCATCAGGGAGGCTTATGTCTCTTGTAGAGGAGTGTGCAAACCCTGCATCCCCTTCTCCGTGGTCCCCTGCCAATTTGGGTTTCCCTGGGTCCTCTCTCTTTTCTGCCAGCATGGGGACTTGGGCTGAGTCCTTGCTGTGGCCAGGGCTTTGGGGCTCAGGGCTCCAGGGCTCCTCCAGGCTGGGGCTGTTCACATTGGCCTCCAACTGAACACAAAGCACCTGGGCCTCTGTCATGTCCCCACTGGGTTGTGAGATCTTAGAGGCCCAGTGGGCAGAACCATGAGGTATTGCTCTTGAACTAGGTTGCTTCTGGTTCTGCTGCACTGCCTTTAACTCAAGGGCCAGCTGTTCTTTAAGGTGGAGCCATTCTGGATCTGGGACACGAGGAGTGTCTGGTGGGATGGGGAGATCCTGGAGCAATGTTTTTCCTTGGTTGTTTAGACTCCCTAGAGACTCCTCTGTGGATGTGTTGTCTGGGGCTGCTACAGTTTGTTCTCTGGACAACCTTGCCTTTATGGGAATTCCCAGTTGTATCTCTAGGATCTTCTTTCTTAGATGGAAATTTAGTTGGGCTAAAATGGGTTTC